TATACTTAATATAGATTTGTTATGGGTTTCTATAATTTAAAAAAAAAATATTATGAAAAAAATTATCAAATACATATATATCTAAAATTTTTGAACGACTACACAAAAAAACTCTCGACAATCCCAAACGCATCTTAAGACATTTCAAATGGTTATTTGCACTTAATGCAAATCTCTAAGTATTTATGTATGCATTTTAAAAATCTCAAACCAATATATGTACGTACTCCAAGTTAGGAGTATATTATATACATACTTTAAAATCTTAAGTCTTTGTGTACACTTATCTCAAATTATGAGTAGTTAAATTATAATTTCTCCAGAAGAAAAAAAACGAGAAAAAAAAAAAAACCTATGTTTACAGAAACTTTGGGTCTTCATTTATGCTTCCCTCAAATCATGAGTACTCAAACTTGTTCACTAAGAAAAAAATAGAACTCAATTTAAATCCCGAACTTACTACTTTATAAATAGAATTAGAAACCCTTGTTGTACCTAAACAAAAAAAAAAAAAAAAAAAAAGATTTAATTCATGGTTTAGCTATATTTAAGTTTTTTAATTTGAATAATAAAGGTATTTTCGAAGTCAGTCCTAATATATATTGGTTTAATATATTTAAAAAGATTAACTTTTTTAAATAATAATTTAAAAACTTGAATCATAAACTTAATTTATAAATCAATACTTAATTACTCATTGATTCAATCCTTAGGATTATAGATTGTGCATCGACTATGCTTAAAGCTTGACTCGTTTCGGTATCACGACCACGTACGTCTACGATGAGTTTTCATTTTTCATTTTTTTTTTCTTAAGGGTGTTTTCGAAAAAAATAATAAATTTTTCTAAAAACCATTCAGCTTAAAAAAAAAAAAAAATTAAACAGTAGTTAATAATTTTCTTTCGAGCACAGTTGCTCCCCCAATATTTAAAGGGTATTGTTGCCACTTCAAAGGATTCAACACTTGCAATAATTTTCTAATTAAAATAAAACCTTTCATTTCAATTATATGATATACCGTTGCATGATATACAAGTAAAATCGATTAAAAATAAAACAAAAAGTGATGCTATAAGAATAATCTTTTATATTACTTTTTTATACTATTTTTACATGTTATTAAATGAGTAAATGTATATCATGAGTTTCACATAAATTAAAAAAATTAATCATTTTAATGATACATCAAATTGTATAAAAAAAATAACACAAATTATACAAAAATTATTTTTCTAAAACAAATTATCTTTTATAATGTAACTCAAGATACATAATAATAATAATAATAATAATAATAATAATAATAATTATTATTATTATTATTATTATGGAGCACTTACAAATGAGGATTGCCTCTCATAACTTTTCAGAGCCAGCTCTTGGTTCAATATTTATTCATATAACTATAGATAACTCAGAAACTAGCAACTACGGATTGCAGGACTTGGATTTGTCTTGCTAATACTATGTTGTGTGTTCAACACCCGTTTTGATTGTGACTTTTACTGCATTGCATGATTCTGTTTTTATTAATAAATTATGCATGTTCCATATATATGAAAAAAAAGGTATATAATTCTACTAGGTTACAAGTGAATTAGTAGCAAAACAACGTTAACGTATCGAATCAATCATCTCCCCTTATTGTATATCGGGCAAAGGAAATAACGAAAATTAAGTAAATATAATGTGGGCGGAAACTAAATATTCTTGTGGTAAGTAGAGAATCCAAGGCTGCATGGCATTGAGATGCAACTCCACCGTGAGTTGCTTGTTTTGTTATGATCCTCTTCCTCACCCTTCAAAATCGAATCAGCCCACGCATGTTTCCGCCACTGAGCATTTCTGTCAAATTTAATAATGTTGGTGTAAATATATTAAGGAGAAAGGAGACGTGTTTAGGGGAAGGCATAGGAGATGGACTTCCTACCATGTTACAAACTTTCTAATGCTTGGTTGCTTTTGGTGTACATCGAATTGGTGATGCAATCAAGACGTTCATGTTGTTGGTCTTGTCATTGTAGATAAACCACGCCCCGCTGGAGCAATACCCTGAAAGCCTTCATCAAATTCTTCCTCTTCTAAGGAAGCTGCAAAGAGTTTTACAAAATGGATTAGACAACATTACAGACAGTCCTTCTAAAGTCACAAAGCCAATTTAAGGCCAACTCATTCAATTGAAAGCTAAGGGTGCCCACTACCTCTAACCACAACAAAACACCGCTAGATACATAAACCACAGAAACAAAAAGAAAATGTGGCATCTGAAATTTAAGGAGAGAACTTGTTGACCCATCGGAAAAAATCGACAACAGCTTCAGGTTTGTCATTCAAGAATTTCTACTTATGTGCCACGGAACCTATCTCCTTACTTACCAGTAGTAATCTCCTCCCCAGCATTGGTCCCTGCAATCCCAATGCATGAGTACATAGAATCCTCATCTACCTTCAACTGTTCATATGCAAGGTATATGTCCTCAATTGTGGCAGCCTCATAGAGAGAAGTAAGCTCCTTAATGCATGAAATATCCTGCAGTCCCAAAAGAAACGACATAATAATGATAACGAGACTTGCCACAAGAAATAAAAGCAAAAGCTTGAGAAGTTATGAGCAACTATGTGCCTCAGTGATTTCCAGTTATACCTTTCTTGGAACAGAAGAAGCTTGCAAATGACCCAACAATCCAAGCCAGTATGCATTTGACTTAATTTCTGCTTCATGCCTCATCAAAAGAGTACGTTTTGCCTGCAGACTCAGAAGATTCATTTCAATCCAAAAAGGAATAAGATAAAGATTTGGAAAATAGTAATAACATCTCGCAAATATTTAGACAGCAGACTTCGTTGGCAAGTTAGACCATCCTATTATATTACTGTAGATCCTCATTGGCAACAGACAACCAGCTAAATCTTAAGAAAGAAATGGATGGGAAAGTCAACTTTACAACAGCCAAGCTGGCTTGAAAATCTGAGATGACAGGGATTATCTGAAGAGATAACGAGCATTATAGTAATTATAAAAACTAACCCTGTCCAGTTCCCGTTGGGCAATCTTGTTGCCATGTAGGCCTCTAAGGACATTCTTGCAAGCATCAACAGCTTTATGTACCTGGACATTCAACAGTATGGAACTTGACAAGATGCTATAAATGACAACAAAGGATAACAAAATGTAGATCCATCTAAAGTACTGAACTTAGCCCCCCACCTTGCCTGGAGTGGATGTTACAGATACCACATACCATCCCAGCTTAAGCCTATCAAACAGGTTTAATTCAAATGATACATCATATGTCAATCCAAGGGAATCACGGACTGTTGTGAAAAGCCTGCACAAAACATATGAGAAATTAATGATAACCAAAATCTATTTTTATTTTTGTAACAAATACTGCAAAAAAAGGAGGGAAAAAAGACCATAAGAGATGTCCAGGACATTTGCTATGGTAAACCAATTTGTCAATTCCATCCAAGAAGGGTATAAAGAAAATCTTAGAAGAATAATTAAAAATAATAATAATTAAAATGAATAGATGGCCAAAAAATAATAATAATAATAATTAAAATGTATACAGCAACCAGGCATCCACTCTTCTTAGAATGGATTACTAGCTAAATTAATCATATAGTGTCACATGGTGCAAGTAGATGAAATGAATTAGAATCTACCTGCTGGAATAATATTACAATTTAATATACCAACATAAATATGATGAACATGGTAAAACAAACCCAGCGCACAACCAGATTAGCATCGGTTAGTCTATGTGTTTGAGATTACTCTGCTTCACAACAAAGGCAGGTGCAGTTTGAGAAAAATAATTACCTGGAATTTATGACCTCTGCCAGCAACCCCATTGTTATGCCAAAGAAAAGGGGATGGCCACGGAGCTTTCTTTGCAAATCCTTCTGCTCAAGTGACAACTCACCTTCAGAAGTAGGAAGATCAGCAATTGACCCCAAAAGGTCTTTTCCATCAACTGAAAAACCCCAACGGTTTGGTGCAGGACCTGCAATGTATGCACATGCTCTCTCATCCGTGTCCTTCAAGAATACCTGCTTAAAAGAACATGTGATTGAAGTATAGACATCAAACCAACTTTACAACTTGCACAACAAAAGGTGACTAGACTGCAAGGATAAAATGGTACAGATGCATAGCAAACTTTAAGTTCCAGAATATCCAAAATGAACTTGATAGAAAATTTAAGCTTTCTTTCTCACTTGTTGAAACTTCAGGTCTGATGGAGATGGTCGAAATAAGATTGGGTTAAATCCATGTTCTCTCTTGGAATCTGTTGATGCTGTAACTGTCCCCAGGTAATCTAGAATACAAGATTCAATCTCCTCCTCTGAGAAATCCCCTACAACACTTACCTGGAAAATTGACAGAACCACCTTTCAAACAATGAAATCCAATTCAGATATGATGTTTTTGTAAAATATTTGGCAACATAAATCGTTACCTCCATATTATCACCAACGAACTGATTCATCACAGCATCTTTTACAGATTTAAGACTCAAATTCTCCAACGATTTTGGAGTAGGTTCAACAAAGCGCTCATCCCCATTCATCATTGCTAACATGAGTTTGTGAGCAGTAGAGCGTTCCAAACTCTTGGGAATGGAGCGGTAGTATGATAAATATAACTGCCTTGCTCTATCAAATGCATCATCGAGCCAGACACTATGCTGCAAGATAGCAGCCAATAAAACATTATTGACAGCAAAGAAAGAGTAATGAAGCGGTGAACGTTTTACAGAACTAAAATTTTGCAAAAACATATAGATAAATATAAGATCTTAAAAAAAATTAGAAACCCAAGATCCAGAGATAGGCAATTAGAATATGATTGAGAATGTGATACCTCAAGCACCATATGAAGTAACTGGAAAGCTGCACGCATTCCATTATCTCTAAGAGTAAATCGAAACTCCATGGCAATGAATTCTTCTGTGGACTCCAAAGAGCAATTTATCAGGTGATTCACACAAAAAAGTTCCACCTGGGGAATCACATTAAAGCAAAAATCAGATAGAGACAGCAAATCACAGAACAGCAGCACTAAACTGTTATAGAGAATTTCTAATGTCACGTTAGTATTCAAGAATCATAGTACTAAGCTACAAAAGTTAAATTTTCATTTTCATACCTGCTCCCTAGAAAAGTTGCCAACCCGGCCACCCTCACTCAGAGTTCTGACACCGACAACAACAGCTCCTTTCGACTCAGAACTTTCAGCTGCTCGTCCTCCACCAACAATGAGCCTCATTACACCCCCACGGGATTCATTTTTAGATATCTGTACCAAGATTATGGTTAACTGGGAACATATACAGCATCTATCCTACCAACATGAAACAAAGAAGAAAAAAAAATAGACCCTGTTGCCCAAAGGCATATTCTTGTTTTAAGAAAGACACTGGTCAACACAACCGAAGTGTTGTGTGTTGAATACCAAATATGGTTTGGAGTACCATATAGAATTAAACAGGTCTGTCAAAACGAACCTCCTTAAAAAAATGAAAATTAATTCAAAATAAGAATCATTGGAATGGTGGAAAAAAGGAAAAAAGAATCATTGGTGAATTGAGAAAAAGCACTCTGCAAGCCTAAAGGGAAATCCAATTCAGCTTCACAGGGATTTTGCTATTTTGAAACATCAGTCAACCCATGCATATGCAAAATACAAAAATTGAATCATACGTCAAATAACAGACAAACAATGAATAGCAATTTCAGTCCTATTGCACAAAAGACATACCTTATAATTCACAGGAATTCCATTGGAAAGACGAAGCTGAGTAATCCCTGTTTCATTGTCATGCATTTTGGTGATATTTGTCTCTGGACTAAGAGGAACAAAGGATGGCCTGCACTGGATCCTTAACTCTTGCAACTGCGATGGAGATATTAATTCTTTTGGTACCTCAAGCTGCAGAACAGATTACAAAGTTAGCAGTGAAGTTCAATTAGACGAAATCTTCCAAACAGACATAACAAACATATTCAATGCAACAACAGGAAAACAAACAAAGATCTTAAAGAAGACCTCTGGCTCGGCTTCAATGGGTTCTTCCAATCCTGACTTTATAGCAGCTGTGATCTCATCTGAGGTTATCTTAAACTCAGTTTCACCAATACCATCCAAGTGAACCTTTTTGGGAACACATGCAACAATTGCAGCTGGAACAGGTGCAGAAGCTTTGCCAAAGTCAGAGATAAATGCCAATACCTCAGCACCAATGGAATTGACCTACACCACAGAATAGTCAACAAAAAGGAACTGCTTGTAAGGAAAATTTTGAATGCAAGATGCCCAGAAAAAACTCAAGGAATGTAGCAAGCAGAAGCCTTAGCATAACAACCCTAAGATAACCGTACCCTATATGGCTCAAAGAATCAATAGAATCGTAGGGGTGCCCTCATACATCCAAGAGATAAAAGAAAGTAAAAATGCAAAGAAAAAATTGAAGTTTAATCTGTAACTGTTTGCACAATACTAACTTCTATTGGTTTCAACTAAATCTCCATGCATGAATGACCAATAAAAATCTTAATATTGGATTTCAAGTCATAGTACAGACAGCTCAGTCAAATAGGCAGAAATCAATTAACAACCAAAACAGAAAATAAAAAAATGCTAATTTAAAGAGAGCTGCCATTAAACAGTGTCATTATCATTGAAAATTACTTCTTCAAGAGTAACTGTTCCAGCAACAGCCATCAAACTCTCATGTCCTTGTATCTGATCCATCACTATATGGCCCAGTGCATCACTTTCCATGATAAAATCCAAATTATCAACGGATGACACATTGTCGATCATAGCTGCCAGTTGTTCACTATCTTTCAGCAGAGCATCCATGTAGCGAGTCAATTCACCTTTAGTCACACCAAACTCCTTAAGCCTTCGAACCTGCATCCAACAAATGTATAAAATATGACAAAAACATGTGAAAGCCTCTAAAATATATTACAATGGTATAATAATTAACCATGCACTGATGAAAAACAGGTATAAACAACAGGAAGTTTTTGAGTGAACAAGTCTGACTTAGAACAAACCTCCTGAACAGCAACTCTAATGGCACTCTGCCAATTATTGGGTTCTGCAGTCACTGTAAGAGTTGTGACAGTGCATCCTTCCCTCCCAGAATCACTATGATCCAATTCAACTGAGGTAAATGGTGGATTTGAACTCTGAAATTTTCAAAAGAGAAAAAATTATCCACACTTGTGAAGAGCTATGTTTTAAGTGTTAAACCAAAATTAGAAGCAAGCAGCATAACTCAAAATACATAAAGCCACTTTTAACATTTTTATATATCGCTTTTATGAGGTTGAGAAAAATGTAAAAGGATGAAGGCAGCAGTCAATTACTTATACTTAAAACAGTTCAGGAAAGAATACAAAGTGAGCACCATAGCTCATCAAACTTTTATTCTCTTGGTGAATCATAACTCAAAGCAAGTAACACACCAGTTCTAATATCCTACATGCATTATCCACTAAAACACAAGTGAAAAGAAGTTTTATTTTGAAGATTGACAATGTTGTGCCAAAGGAAAGCAAAAAAGAAGAATCAATTTAAAGAGAATCATATTTGGAAAAATCAGTTACAAGCAAAGACTAGATAGATGTAACAGTGACTAGCTTGCAAAGGCAAATTGCTTGTGTTCAGGACAGAGGCTGAAATTATATGCACACACCTTGTATCTTGTATTAATTCGAAAATGCAAGGCAGATAAAAATATTCTCTTCATCAAAACACTTCGTAAGTCACCATACGTCTTAACTTTGTTCACAGGAATCTGCAACAACATTCAGAATACTATTTTGAGACAAAAAATGATCATTGAGTTAGAACATCAATTCTTAAAAAGACTAGACAGCAAGACCCAGGGCTCACAGGAACTTGCAAGTAATTATAAATAAACAGGAACAAAAGGCATTGACATACTTGACCAGAAGAAAGAATGTGGCAAACCATTGTGATCTACCAAGCATATATTGCTATTTCTCATATGCATATAAAAAAAAATCATATATGCCACAATGATCACAACAGAGCATTGAAAATCAATAGATGACCAAGGAAATAAGCATGCTCATCCAGACCTTGCAGAACATGTTAATTGAGAAATTTTGAAGTAACTCATGCTGAAATATCTGTGGGTGCTTCACATCTGTATTATTTCCAGGGAGAGACCAGTCATGCTTCACAGGAGGCCGAACTGCTTGCCTTTCCCTTTTGATAATTTTAGATTGATCTGCAGAATTAGATGATCTTTCATGAGATAAACTTCCAGCAAGACCAGCTGGGAGCTTAGGAACAAGAAAACTAGCCATTGCACCAAATGCACTGGGAGTAGGGGCTGAACTTGTTTTGTTTTCAGAGCCAGTTTGCTCAAAAGCAACCTGTTTAGAAGCAATAGACTGTAGTCAAGATATGTATATAACAAGTTACAGATCTGAACAAACACACATAACTAATAATTGATAAAATAGCATCTGGCCTACCTCAATCTCGTAAATTGTCTTTGAGATGTTATTGATGTCCCCCACAATGTATAAAGTTGCATTTGCAGGGAAGTACCAACGCTCATGGAATTTTTTAATTTTATCCACATCCCATTTCTTGATCTGCTCTTCTAATCCAATCGGGAATCTTTGGCTAAGCTTGTTTTCAGAATGCAAATGTTGTAGTAGCTACAATCAGAAGAAAGAAATCACATAAGAACTTTGTACAATCAAAAAATTATAAGCAGCCAAACCACCCTTCGCACCTGGCAATCAACACGATATTCAATAGTATTCATCATCTGCAATTCTGAAAGTATAGCGCGCCTCTCTTTTTCAACTCGAGAAGAAAGGAATTTTGGATGGAAAGCAATCTGCACAAAAAAAGCAAAGAAAAGAGCACAAAATATTTTCATTGTGTTTAGAAAGGGAACATATACAGGGCAATTTTAAAGAGGGAAAACACCAACCCAGCCATAATCACACGAGTACCGAATACCCAACACTCAATTACTACTAAAATATCTATATGGAACAAGGAATTCATATAGCAGAATTTAATACCTCATTTAAAGCATCCAGCACAGATGGAAGAAGATCATCATCAGAGTCCTGAAAACCACCAGCATTCACCACCAAGAATACAAATAAGACACAGGTTCTTAATGAAAAACTACCAATTCAACTAATAAGCAACAATTAAACAAGATATAAAATGTATATTCTGCACAACATTATGAAATAGTTCTTCCTGAAATTATTTCAAAGTATTTTTTTGTATAAATGCAGAAAGAAATTAGGGTTATCAGGGGTAAGAAACATGATAACTTCTATTCTTGATTTACCCAAAATTGCCATAAGATTGGTTAGGAAAAACATAAAGATTAAACTAGAGATAAAATATAAGGCATAAACTAAAAGAAAAT